AACCTTTCCCCCTTTTTTTTTAAAAAAAAAAAAAAAAAAAAGATAATCTGTCTCTAGCAGACTAGTTCTACAAGGAATATTACTACGAGTGGTAGTTTTAACTTTATGAATAGTTAGCTTAATTAGGGTAAGAACAAAGCTATCTTCTGCATTTCCAGCCAGGGGCGGTAACTGCTACTAACACCAAAACAGGCCTGTCAGGCCCTGCTCTGTCCAGCTGCAAGCCCCTAGCAACCCCAAGCCCGCAGTGGTCTCTCCAGGGAGAGGGCTCCCATGCACTCACATCTGGCGCTTGATGTAGTCTTTCAGCAGCTCCTGGTCCACGCTATAAAGCTCAGTGCTGCTGACGTTGTCAAAGTAGTAGGTGATGTTGTTCATGTACTTAGGGGTGCGAGGCCCCTCCGTACCGTCAAACTTTCGGTAACCAAACTGGTAGTCAAAATGGGCTACGAGAGAAACAGGAGCCGTGAGAGAAAGGAGAATTCTGCCCACCTCCCCCGCCGCACTCCCTCGGACATCCCGGAGCCCAAAGGGGCCTCACGTACTTCGAGTGCCACCCCGGCCGCGTCCCCGGCCACGACCACGCCCCCGTCCACGGCCACGGAAGGAAGCCCGCGCCCCACCAGCCCCATCACTCTTCACACTCGATGTCTCATCCTGGTCGTGCCAGGCAGGCTCCGGTTTGGTCTCTGGTTGCCAGGCTGGGGTGGGGGGGGCCACGGGCACGGGCACGTAGGAGGCTGGCTCAGACCCTGTGGGGAGAAGGGGTGACAGGTGAGGCCTGAGGGTGTCTCCCGTGTCCAGGCCCTCCGTAGTGGGCAGTGCGTACCTTTGATCTCCCCGCGGCTGGCAGTTGTGTGTCTTGGCTCCTGTGGGCGAGTGGGGCGTGAGGCCAGTTTCTCTCTGGATACCTCAGGCTTCATGTCTATTTGCAACGGAACCCACTTGTGTTTGTTCCCTGGGGGACAGCATGGGCAGGTGAGAAAGGCTCGAGAGGGCGGCTCCCAGCCATCCCCACCCAACTCTTCTTCCCTTGCCACGGGCTTTTACCCAACTCACAATCTGGTAACCCTGGGCCAACTCCTTTCCTACACACTGGACCTCTTCCTCACCTCTAAAATAAGGAGGCCGGTGGCGCTCAGTGTGATGGAGACTCCCGGCTAACTCCCAGTATCGTCTCTGTGGCCAGGGAATCCCATTCTGGAGCGAGCCACAGGCTGCCCGGATTAAAGACTAGACTTCCCAGGCTCCCTCCAGACACGTGCCAAACGCTGCCTACGAGCACTGGAGCCCCCAAAAGGAAAGGAGATACATTCCCTCTCCTCTCTCCCTCCCCATCAGCTAGAATGACAACGAAATAGAGCGCCTGGCCATGGTGTAGCAGTAACACAATTAGATGCACGTGGGAAAGGTCCCAGGTTTGAATCCTGGGACCTCCACGAGCATCCCAGGTAAGCGCACATGTGACTGTTACCTGGGCTGGCTGAGACCAGGGGTGGACTGAGGCATGAGGACTGCTGGGATGCGGTCTCTCTCGTGGAAGAAATAGCAAACTTAAAAAAATAAACTTGGGACCAGCAACTGGCGTAAGGGTTATGTCACTGGACTCCCATGCAGAGCGGTTAGAGTCTTGGACCCAGCGGCTTAAAAAACGGACACTGGGCGAATGTGTGCACGTGCATGCCCCAAATCCTGAGAGAATGGAGAAGGGACTGAAGTGTGGCCGTCCTCCCTGGGGGAGGGGGGTCTTGCTTTCTGTCTCTGTCTCTCTCTCGGCAAGTGTACATATCCTACAGCAAAAAAACGCTCTATAAAAAAACACAATAATAAAATTTAAAAAGGGGGAGGGCAAACTTAGGACAGTGGCTAAGTGCTGTGCCTGGAAAACCAGCTCCACATGGCGGACCGTAATTCCAGTCCCAGTCCCCAGCCCCAGAATCTTGAAAAACACACTAGAACATGTGCATGTGAGCTCCAAATCCAGACAGGATGAAGAAACGAAGGAAAATGGGTTCCTGCATGACCAAGCCCCGTGGGGGGATGCCTTAGCCCTCCCCTTCTGAGCAGCATGAGTGCCCTCAGCAATCAAAAGAGGGGCAGGGGAAAGGGGCAGCCACCTTGGCTGAGAGCCAATGCACTGCAGCAAGACGCCGTGCTAAGCCTGGCCTACCGACAGGACGCTGTTGAACGGCAGAGTAAGTTTTATCTTATTAAACCACTGTTACCAAGGAACTCCATTAGCGTAGCCAATCCTGTATCCCGGCCACGTCAGCAGGCTTTTGGAAACTCTTGTCCATGAGAGTAGGAAATAGCCAATAGATGGCTGGGGAAAAGACTGCTGTGTCCCAGTGGCCTACGCCAACTGACCCTCCACTGGTACCTCAGGGGACACCTAAAATCCCTCCGGTATTGACCCAGAGTTCTGACACTTCATGGTTCTTTTGGTTTGCTATAGGGTGTGTGTACTCACCGGAGACAGACACAGCATGTGAAAAATCACCCACCAAGGGCCATGGCCACACTGAAATCCCTTCTCCTTTAGGGATTTTGGGCATGTACGCACACGCCCAGCATGTTTTTCAAGTCGCTGGGCCCAGGACTCCAGCCCTACAGATGACCATGAGAGATCCAGCCACTTTAACTACCACGCCACCTAGGTGGCCACATGGTTCTTTCTTTTTAGTTTCCAGGGTGGGATGTGTGTGTGCTCGCCAGAGAGAAAGAGAATGAAGAAAGCACCCCTCAATGAAGTATGGTCACGTGAAATTATTCTCCAGTTCTTTATCCTCTTGGGATCTGGGGCACGCACACATATATACCCAATCTATTTTTTTCAAGCCACGTGGGTCCAGATCCTTAACAACGAGGCCACAGGGCCAGCCCCGACATTCCCCTTCCCCAGCGTCCTGAAGAGCTCACCTTTCTTCTTCTGCCCGCCTCGCTGGCAGTCCTCATCCCCATTCTTCTCCTCCCCTGATTCATCCGATTTTGTTTTCGGGCTCTCCTTACTATCGCTCCCCTCTCCTTTCTCCTGTTCCTTCATGTCCTTCTTGGGTGGCAGCTTACGGGCAGGCTGAGGCTTGTGGGACTGTGGCTGCAACAAGGAGGAAAAGTGACAGGGAGGGGAGGTGAGTGTGACAGCCTCTTAGGACGGGAAGGAGAAGGCTCTCCGTCACAAAAAAAAACGGGCCAAAGAAACCGCAGCATGCTACGGCCCCTTTTCCACCTGAGATATGTTTGCTGGGATCCATGGGAGATGGGAGAGACAGCCAGTCTCTAGCCTCCGTGCGTCTAAATGAGAAGGCCACACCCAAGACTGAGAGGCTGAGGCTCACAGGACCCAAGTGTTTACTCCCTCAAATAGGCCCACGTGACCCTACCCAGGCATCTGTGAGATGGAGGAAATGCTGGCCCCAAGCCCATCCACACCAACCCTGTCTGTGAACTGAAGGTGGACACAGCTAAGGAGTAGGGACTAAGCCACTGGCCCAGAACAAAAGCACTATAAACAGGAGACCTAGGAGTCTCCCCGCTCCCAACCTGGCCTGGGAGTTTCGTATGCTTCCCTGGGACATGTGACCTGGAGGGCACTTGGCCTAGCGACCACTCATCTACTGCGATCATAGAAAGCCCAAGTGTGGTGATGAGGACACAGGCTTGAAATAATACAGTATACCTCACGACTCCAATTCCCACTTGGCCATCAAGGGCTAGTAATTAACCTGGGTCTCAGCGGCCTCACCTATAAAGGGCGGATTATAAAAGGACAAAGCTCAGGGTCCCTGTGAGGGTGCGATGAGATGATGAGCGAGCGACAGTGCTTGGCAGTACCTGACACAAAGCCAAGGCTCAAATGATGACAACTGATGGCTATTTCAACACTGCCCATATTAACCACTCCTTTTTAAAAAACAAGAAATGCGAGACCTGAGGCTCTGGAAGCGTAAGAAGTCAAATGTGCACACACAGAGAGTCCTAGTCTGCACACCCCGCCCCCAGACTCACCTGCACACTCTTGTGGGCTATCTCTCCAGGTGTGGGCCAGTTGATTGCATCTCCAAAGTCACCAACCTGTAAAGTATAGTCTATGAGAGCCCTGGGGGGTGACCTGCCTCTACCATTCAGTCCCTCACTTAAGCTCCATATCCACTGAAAAGACTAGAGGTCAAACCAGTCTGTCCATTAGGACTATCAACAATGGAGGCCCAGAAGTTCCTCTCCTATTAAGAACATCTAGAACTACCGACAGTCCAGAAATACTCACTAGAATGGGAAAAAGGCTACCACCTCCAGGAAGTCCCCCTGGGTTGCCCACTCCTATTGCTTACCTTGCTGCCTTTGCGCTGCTTAGGAACTGCTGCCCTCACCACCTTGGCTGGTGCAGAATGTTCTGTAGGAACAAGCAGAGAGTGATGGTTATGCACAGCCTGGGCGAGGAGCCCATTGCTAGCTTCTCTCCCTCATCACCATCTCCACCCCAGCAATTAGCCTACAGCTTCCCAAAGGGTAAGACACAGCGAGGAGGAAGACATGTGTTCAAACATCTAACGACTGGTTATTCAGGAAGGAATAACCATGGAAGGTGAGTATCAAGGGGGAGAGCTGGGAGCCAAAACCCCAGGAACCCAGACCTAGATGGGAGGGCCCTTACAGAGTATAGCTCTATCTCCTCGCAAGTCCACTCCAGAGCTAGCACTGTAACTGAGGGCCTCCAAATCCTGGCAGCTGTCATCAACGAAGAGTCAAAAAGACCCTTTGCTGCCCTAACATTCCGGAAGTCTGTGTGAGCACACCAGGGCTGGTGACCACAGCAAAGGAAGAAGTCCATAGACGGACAATCAGAAGTCCAGGGACCACACCAGGGCCAGGTCTGTCCTTAGTGACTGGTGGTCAATGGAAGGGCAGCCACTCAGGAAAGGTTCTGTCTGCTCTCAGTTTACAAAGAAAAAGTGAGCTTCAGTTTGACTCAGTGGTTCTACCTCTAGGAATTTACTCTAATGATACAACGAGATAAGAACTACATATAAGATACCCACTGAAGGGCTATTTATAATTTAATACCTGTGTGTCCAAGAGTAGGGAACTGTCTGAATTACGGTTCATCTATCTTTAGCACAGTCATTACAGAAACAACGATCTCTACTGATACAAAAAAATGGGCACAATAAACAGAAGTTACACGCAATCCTGTTTTTATGACACAAATGTACAGGCCAGCAGCTGGCACGGTGGCTAGGGTGTTGAAATCCCACTATGGCCAACAGCGAGTGGTTCAAGTCCTGAACCTGGCGGCTTGATTTCTTACTCTCTGTGTCTCTCTCTGGTCAAATTAAAAAGAAATCCCACAAATGTATAATACAGTATGAACTTTGGAAGAATATACAGAAGAGTATTCAGGAGTTAAGTTGTATATTTACTATGATTTTAACTTTCCAACATAAACATGGCTTTAAAAAAGAAAACAAATGTCTTTTTTTGTTTGCTTTGAAGGAAGTGGCTCTAGCAGGTCCAGTCCCTTCTACACCCACACTTGTTCTCCTAATGCATTTCTGAAGACCCAGGACTTCTGCCTCTTCCTTCCCCAGAGGCCCACAGGAAAAGACACATCCTGGGGCTGTGCTCACCCACTTCTCCCATCACTCTGCTGGCCAGTCATGCCAGGACAAGAGCTGCCCCCCGTCCCTGAGCAAAGAAATTCACCTAGTTGGCTTCAAAAGGAATGTTCTACTCCTTGATCAGAATCATGTTCCCTTAATGAGTAGAGAGTGTCCTTGCCTGACTCCTAACTGTGAGGCCACTGCACACCTGGCTTCCACCTCCTACCAGAGCCACTGCCCCCTCAAGACAACCCACATGCCTTCTGAGAGCTAGAGTCACGGAGCTCAGGTCACAGCCCTCCCCACCCCTAGTGCTGGGCAGTGAAGAGCCAGGAAATCTCAGATCCAAGAGGATGGAGCTCCTAGGCCCAGGGGGCTACTCTGTACCTACTCTTGTGTGACTTCTGAGCTGGCCCAGACAAGCCCAATACCACTCAGCTCTCTAACGAGGCTAAAGACAGTCACCTCTTCAAAGACCAGGCTAGTGGACACCCAGGCTGTGGCTGCTAAGTATTTTTCCTAGAACCCAGTACACTTACTTAGCACAGGTACCAGGAGAGCAGGCCAAAGGGCCTGCAGCACCAAGTTCTGGAACAGGAAGCTGGAAAGGACTGGAATCAGGTTCAGAGGGCAAAGTGTTCTTAAAGATTTTCTTTGAAAAGGGTCAGACACCGTGATCTCCCTGCTTCCTACTCTATGCACCAAGGTCACAAGTGGCTATGGCGGTCCTGAAAGTTTGGTCTCTGAGATCACGTGGAGCCCTCACGCCAGAGAGATCCACTGCTTTCCTATTCTGCCACTGATCCCAAGCTGTATCTGACTAGTCTGGGCGTACCTAGGGATATCCTTTTAGTAGTCCTGTGGGGCAGCCCATGTGAGGTATGTTGAAAAAGCCCCAAGGACAATGGTGCCCTGATCTTGCTCTGCCTTCAGCTAGGGCCAGTCTGCCCCTGACAGGAACACCCCTAGAGAAGGAAAAATCCACTGGGGAGAGTGAACCACTTCTGCCTTTCTATGAAATTTGTTGACCTGTTAAAACTGAATGGGGCCTCAGGAAGCCCAAGCTGAGCTGCTGAGGAACTGTGCAGGAGGCAGGAAGACGAGTTACACATCCTTTTCTGGGTCCCCCTCCCAGGCGCCCACCCTTCACTAAAAAACTGCACACATGTACGCAAATAGAGAACGTCTAGGTCCAGATGGGCCTGGCATCCGAAAGCGGCTCCCAGTTAAAACCAGCTGTTTTTTTGCACAGGCATCAGTCCCCACATAAGGCACCATCCCAGCCAAATCAGGGTTCAAGCCACTGCCTCCCATCTCTGCTCTCTGAACCTTGTGCCGACCATCACTGACCCAAGCCCAGCTCAGGAAAACACCACAGTCCATGAGCCCAGGAAATGGCTGTAGAATGTCAGAGCAGCAAGAAAGGACCATTATTCTTTTTTCTTTTTAAAGAGGTTTTTGCTATAGGACATGTGCGCTCGCCAGAAAGACAGAGACAGAGCCAGAAAGCGAGAAATCACCCCCTAGGGGGGATGGCCACAACACAATCCCTTTTCCTCCATTCTCCTCCTGGGATATTGGGCACTCACGCACACGCGCCCGGCATGAATTTAAGCCCCCGGGTCTGGGACTTGAACTACGGTCAGCTACACTGGAGTCCAGTGACATAGCTGTTACACCAACAGCTGGTCCCAGGACCATTGTTCTTAACCACTCCTTTTTGTAGTAAAGAACTGAAGCTGCAAAAGGGGGCAAGGCTTCCCCAAGTCTAGCTGCAGAGTCAGTCCTGACTCCCTTGCCAGTGCTCCAAATGACTTCACCCAAAATTCCAGGGGATAGAAGTGGTTCCCACATGTCCACAGTGAGGGAACAAGTTAAAACCTTCCTCTTAGAACACCCCTTGGTCTTTCCTACTGATGGCAGGGAGAGCCTCTGGGGAGAGAAGGATATAGGAAGTGTGAAGAGGGAAGCCTGAGGCATGACCCAGGGTGCTTACCTCCTAGAGGTCTCTGGGAGAACTGCAGATAAACACCCTAGGAGGGCCTTTCCTCCTTACACTAAGGTAAATCGGGGCTAAAGGGTTGCTTGGAAGAGGGGGAAAACCACTTTCTATCCCATAAAACCACAGCTAGCCAGAAGCCAAGACTGACCCTAGATGTGGGGGGATGGAGGCTTCCTGTACATACATGCACATTTGCTGAATTCCCTCTTGGCTGACGGCGGTTCGAGTCCTGGACTAGGCAGTTTGAAACTCACACCAGGCACATATGCACGATGCCCAAAATCCCGAAAGGAGGACAAGATTTTGCAGCATGGCCATTCCTCCCTGGGGCGTGATTTCTCACTTTCTCTGTGTCTCCAGCAAATGCGCACGCCCTATAGCAAAACGTTTAAAAAATTTAAAAATAAAACAAACAAAAGTAAAGTATACCTGTCCTGAGATGGGTACTGAACTTGAGCTGTGAAATACTGCCTTTATTGATCAAAAATGAAGATTTTCTGCTGAGACCTCCCCCTCCCTCCACAATCATTTCTAGAAAGGCACAAACCGAAGCCAGGCCCATCCTCAGATGGATACTCAACTTGAGCTGTGAAATACTGCTTTTGCACGGTGTGCGTGCGCATGGTGTGGTTTTCATTTTTTGCTTTTTAAAATTAAATCTAATGCTTTTAAAATATTATCTTCTTATCCCTTTCTCCTTTTTCATTTTATTTTTTCTTCTTTCCTCTTCTGATTCTTTTCCTTTTTTATCTTTATTCACTGGCTGCTCAACCTCTACGCACTGTGTGTCTAGACAGGTACAAGTGAACAGGATCCAAACATCTGAATACAATTAGGGTCGGAATATTCCTCTATTCCCACGAAATCTGATACACAAAGGGTGAAAACAGAACAGAAGAAAGATTGCAGATCACTTCTTTCTGCGCATCTCTGAACGCTCAGATTGAACTTCAAGAATTAGGAAGAAATGCAACATCCGTCAGACAACTAGAAATCACTACAGGGTCACAAGAAATACGGGAAACAAGAAAATATCTCAGCTAAAAGAGATGGAAGAGAAGAGAGACAATGAACTGCAGAAGAGGCAGGAGAGAGGAGCTGATGAGTTCCAGGAGATGAGGAAATTCCTGCAAGATCTAAAACAGGAAATACACACTATAACAAAGAATCAAATGGACCTGTTAGAGATGAAAGCTACAGTACAGGAAGTCAAAACCTCCCTTGAAAGTATTAAAAGCAGACTAGATCATACAGAAAATTAAATCTCAGATGTAGAAGATAGAATCACTGGCCTAGAAAAATCCACCACAAAGACTGAGAAAATTGCCCCCCAAAATGAGAATAATATATGAGAAATACTAAACACCATCAAATGGCCAAACATCTGGATAACTGGTATTCCAGAAGGCAAAGAGACTCATAAGGGCATTGATAATCTATTTCATGAAATCCTGCAAGAAAACTGTCCAAACCTAGAGAGGCATTCAAATATCCAGTCACAAGAAAAACAAAGGACCCCAAATAGAATCAACCCAAGGAGATCTTCTCCAAGACATATAACCAGACTGACCAACCACAGACAAAGATAAAATACTAAGATTCAAAAGAGAGAGACATCAAGTTACCTACAAAGGATATCCCATCAGACTAATGGTAGACCTCTCATCAGAAACAATGTGAGCGAGGAAAGAATGGGAAAATATATTCAAAGTGTTAAGGGAAAAGCAATTTCAACTAAGAATACTGTACTCAGCAAAATTATCTTTCATATGGGAAGAGAAGAAAAGAACA